TTTAATCATTATTATTTAGTTTCTCGAATTTAAATAAATTAAAGTCAAATATGCATTTAACATTCAGAAAATAAAATATAACACATTTTTTAATAATTTCTAATCCAAAGCATATATGGTAGTTAATATAAATAAATAATAATTTATATTAATTTGTTTGTAGGTTAGAATTATTAAACACTAAATTATTTATAAATATCTTATAAAACTAAAAAACTTTTAATATTAATTAATTCCAAATTTAGTTTATATCTTAAAAAACTAAAAATCTTATAAAACGAAAAATATTTGATATATAAAAATTTATTTAATAATAACTTAACTTTCATAAATTATTAATTTTATATTTATATTTATATTTATATTTATATTTATATTTATATTTATATTTATATTTATATTTATATTTATATTTATAATTTATATTTATATTTTTATTTATATTTATATTTATATTATTATATTTATATTTATATTTATATTTATCAATTTATATTTATATTTTATTTATATTTATATGATTTATTTATTATTTATATTAATATTTATATTTATATTATATTTAATTTATATTTATATTATATATTTATATTTATATTTTATATTTTATATTTATATTTATATTTATATTATATTTATATTATATTTTATTTATATTATATTATATTTATATTTAGTATTTATATTTTATATTTATATTTTATTTATATTATATTAATATTAATTTATATTTATATTTATATTTATATTTAATATTATATTTATATTATTTATATTTTTATATTTATATTTAATATTTATATTATATTATATTTATATTTATATTTTATATTATAGTATTATATTTAATTTATATTCAATATTCTATATTCTATATTTATATATTATATTTATTTTTATACTTATTATTTATTATTTTATATTCATATTATATTTATATTCTTATATTAATTATTTATATTTATATTTATATTTATATTTATATTATATATTTTATATTTAATATTTATATTTATATTTATATTTATATTTATATTTATATTTATATTTATATTTATATTTATATTTAAACGTTTGTTAACAATTGATTTAAACTATAATTGCTAGTTCGTTGTAAATAGATTTAGGTTTAAGATCTTAATTCTTGTTAAAGGATTTAATGCCTTTTCTTTAGATAGTTTCAATTACTAAATACAGTTAAGTAAAAAACCAATGAAAAAGTTTTTTTTAATCACAATTCTCAACAAGTTTACAAGTTGTATAATATATTTGTAAATGTAAATAATTTGACTCTTGAGAACATTGTTCATCATGATTTAATATACAAACTTATGTTGTAATTAAACTTCGTAAAGGAATTGTTTCTCGAACAACCTTTGAGGTTCAATTATTGGTTTTGGTAAAAACAGAATTAAAATGATGGTGAGCTTCAACTATTTAAAAGCAGCCGAAAAATAAAGTTATAATCCTTTAAAGGTGGTATTTTTAATAAATGTTAGAAGAGAAGAGTACACTGGTGAAAAGATCAAAATTTGCGACACCAAATTGAAGGAATAATTGAAGAAACATCCAAGCCGAAGCTAACAACATCTTGCGGAAATATTAAACACATTATGTAGACTCTTTTTCATTAGAACAACTACGTGCAATAAGATAAAACTGAACGGATAAGTACCATATTAACAAAGAATCGAGAAGTTTCAAATCGAATTATATATTGCTGCCTGAAAGATAAATATATACATATATAGCTTAAAGTAAAAACAATCGAAGGTAGGACAGAATGGGATACGTTAACATGTTCAAAATCTTTTAACTCTTTGATCCTTTCACTACACTCAAAAATCTTTCGAAAGGTCGTTTGAAAGATCTTTCGTATTCTGTCAGCGGTCTTTTAATAGTCTAAAAAGTCTTCTTGGTCTTTCAAAAGGCTAAAAAAGAAAGAAGAAAATAGAACAAGACAGCTTTCTACCATGAATTACATTTGATAAATATTTTTTTGAAAAGGATTTTGTGCTTTCAAACAGTATTTCGTTCGATCTTTCAAAAAACTTTCGAAAGACTTTTAACGATCTTTACCAGAATTGACCTGGTAAAGTGCGTAAAAGAAAGAAATGATAAAAATGTCTATATCTAGTTATTGTGAAAATATCAATTTTTTACTTCTTCTATAGAGAACGAAATCTCCGTATAGATTAAGATGCCTGCATTTTAATTAATTTGGGATTAAAACTATGTTTAGAGACAATTTTGTAGTTTGTAGTTAACAACCTCCATATAGAATGCCTGATACATATTTCCATTAATTATAATCTAAATATGATGACTTAGCAAATATTATATATATTTATTTATTATAATCTTAAGATAACATAAAGGACGCTTGTCTTCCGTGAGCTGGTAACTTCGAAAAAACCACACTTGATATCAGCGCTTAAACAGAACACAAAGAATTTCTGTTAAAAGTGTCAGTAAAAACAAGACTAATAAACACAAAATATGCAACTTTTAGTGCCGAAAAAAATAGATTTCTCTAACTTGTACCTGTACCAGGAATAACACTGTGCGACAAAAACTTTTAAACTTTGAACTGTTATTATCAGAGAAGCAGATGTCGGGAAAAATAAGGTAGCATTTTTTAACTCAGCAGTTCCAGTTTACGCTAATACCATTAAAAAAATAAAAAGTAACTAATTAAATAGCCAAAAATAACTATATATTTTTAAAATATGTATTTTATTATCGTTGAGTGGCCGTTTTGAAATGGATTATAAAATCCGGTTGCAAGTACAAGTAAGTAAGCAACAAGCGTCCTTTGTGTATGGTCGGCTCGACATTTTCTAGCCGGCACCGAAAACAATCTGTAATACTAGATTCACATGAGAGTTATGTTTGTAATTTCAGCTGTCAAATATTTTCATTTTGCATTGAAAGCAATAACTATTGACAGCTAAAATTACAAATAAAACTCTGGTGTAGTATAATATTACTCTTCGACATAAGATTGGTTACTATATTATTATTACTTCCATACTCTATCAAGAGTTTAAGGAGTCTACAAAAGTTTTTAACTTTTTTCTATTTTGTGCTATTGCTCTTAACTCGTTACACGATTTGCCGATCTCCAGGTCATTGTTGGTCTGTCTCTGTGCCTAGTCCCATGACCCCCATGGGAGTAAGTGCAGCATGGGCAATGTTTTCATAAGGCTTATGCAGTATGTTATGTGTCCAATCCAATCATACTTCTTTCTTCGTATCTCGTTGTTTAAGTTTGTTTGGTGCGTTATTCTCCTTAACTCTTCATTTGAAATCGTTCTAGGCCAACATATGTCTAATATGTTACGCAGTTGCAATTTTCTTTCGATTTCGGAGTTAGCAAGCCAGGTTTCTGATCCATATAGGCATACGATTTGACACATGCGATATTAGATTAATATTTTAGTATATATTATGTTTAATTTTTTTTATACAATTATTTTTTATATATGTTTAATTTGTAATTGTTTTTTATATTTTTATTATTTATTTTTTTATTAGATATTTGTTTATAACAATAAAATTATTTTCCAGAAGCAAAAGCTAGACAATTTTATTGACTGCTCGGCTAGGCTCAAGTGCGACCCATAAATCTATTTTTGTGTAAATGCTATGTGTTTTGTGTTAAATTGGAACTTAATAAATTAGAAAAAACGTTGACAAACACTCCAGCAAACACATACGTACTGTACAGTGTACGTGTTTTTGTGTGAGTGTGTGCAAAAAGCGACACATGTGCGTGAATTTGAGCAGCGGCTTTGTGTAATCACACGACGTATACGTTTGTGTGCAAATAAATTTAAACTCGCAGTAGAGAAGCCACTCACTGCCTCACTGCCTCGCTGCTCCTATGATTGCTCTTGAAATTTTATTGATTTTTTGTTGTGTTCCCTCGTAATAGCCGCACATATAACCTCATGTTATTGTTATTATTATAGTTGCTGGTGTTGTTGTTGTTGTTGTTGTTGTTGTTATTGTTATTGTTAGAATAGCGATAACGATAGCGGAAGCGGAAATCCAGTTTTGAAAAAATGTTGAAGCTCTTCCGCTTTTATTAAATTTAAAACTTTATTTTTAGTATGTATTTTATAAACGCTCAAGGGAACAAATTATGTTAGCGTGTGTCTGCACTTAAGTTTTTTCTCTTTGTTGATTATTTTTCTTTTACATTTACTTTAGTTATTCAATCCTGTTTTGTAAGGACAAACTTACTTAATCCAGAACGGTTAGTATTTGTAAAACGAAATTTATTTATAATGTCGGATACTTTTACTAAGAACTTCTTAGTAAAAGTAAATAGTTTCCCTATAGGCTTAACATTTCTTCTAATATTATCCAATGGTGTATAAAAGGGGAGGGTTTTAATGTTCAATTCCCCTAAAATATTTCAAATCACGTTATACTAGATATTGTGAATTTACTCATATAAATATGTTTAGATGAAAAGTGGTTTAATTTTCAAAAAATGGTCCCCTTAAATGAACCTCTCTCTATATACGACGCCCATGGTATTATTACATTTTATGTTTTTGTTGACACAGAAATTCAAATAAATAAAAGTTCAGAGTTTACTATTAAGTTTATTGTAAGTTAAATAAAAATAAGAAAATAATTTAAAAGCGGCTTCGTTGCGAGTTGATATTATTTACGAATATAAATTCATTTTCCTGTTTCATAATTCGAATTATATACATTTTATTAAGTTAAGTAACAACAGGGTTACTATAAGACCAGACATCAATGATTTTTTATTTTATAATAATAAATATGGTATTGTTTATATTCAATATAATATTTATGTGCTTTTAATAAATAACATATACTCTGAACATAAGTAAGACATTGTTTATACTTTAAAAATTTATTTATACTTCAAAAATTTACGTAATTTCCAAAAAATTTAATAAAATAAAAATATTAACTTGCATGCATTATTAAAAACATAAACCATAAAATTTTAACAGCAATCACTTTCTAACTACACATATTAATTATTATCGTTGAAATAAGGTCTTCAAATTCATTTTTAAGTTTCCTTTAAACAGTTCTTAGTGAGAAGTCTAGAATAGTGTTTGCACTTATGTAGGATAAAAACATGCTGACAATTACAACAATCAATTTAAAATTATACAAAACTATATATAGTCGATTAATACCACTTTATCACATCCCCCAAAATATATTTTGTTTAGTCAAATCCGGTAGAAGTCCGTTCCAGTATGGTCACATATTAATAATTTAAAATCAGTAAACTTCGCTGTAAATATTTTAGCCAAGTATTCAATATTAAATAATAAACTATTAAAATATGAAATTCAAATTTTTATAATAAATGAAAAAAATAATTTATACCATTAGTTGTACGCACATAGTATTCATTATTAAAAAAATCCAGTAGGATCCAAATTTGTTAAATCAGGTATATGTCGCGCCACTATTCCAATAGAAGAACATTTTTTTAATATATCATAATAAATTTAATTATATTATATTATACATATATATACCTCCGTTTATTTATAAATTATCTTGGTGTCAAATCTAATATATGAATTAGTAAAGTCAGGTAGGTAAGGTTTTCACTTTTCGTATAAATTAAAATTATTAGCTGTGCAATAGTTCAGAGAACTAAGTACCATGCCATTCCTTAGCTTTCTAGTGAAATTCCTGTTCAATTGGCCATAAATAATAAATTCACTCGAGAAAGACGTTTGTTCAGCGGATTACTATTGCCACTACTGATATAAAAAAAAAACTATACTTGTAGAACAATTAATTAAATGATCAAAAACAGTACATAATGTAGTGAAGTCAGGTAAAAAAAAAATTACTGCGCTATTTCTGAACTTTTCGGTGCATTTTTTGGCCAAGTAGTCATAATCAGTAGGTCCATCCGGTAATTTTACACTATTAAAACAGAGCAAAATTAAAATTTATAAAACTAAAAATATTTGAAAATGCTTACAGCATAAATAATTGACCATCAATTTATAATAATATTGTTTGAAAGCAATCACAAAGCAATCATTTTAAGTTTCAGGCCATGTTATATATAGAGAAATTCATCTAATAATACACCGCCATTCATACACCTGATTCATATTTTAAAAATAATAGAAGAATTAAAATTAATAATTCAGAAAAAACCTAAATAAATAAAGCATGAAACATTTTTTACAAATGAAATACTTACTTATCAGTTTACCAATTAAGTACGATTATAGAGAGAGTCCGGTATTGTAAAATATTGACTTCAACTATTAAATCTAATATGTATAAATTAAAAATACCACGCAGCTGTTATAAAAATACTGATCTGAATATAATATTTATTAGCATAAAAATATTTGCAATAACAGTACTTTATCTAAAATAATAATTTGAACTTGAATTGTGTAATAGTATGTTTCCACTGGCTTCGTTAAACCAGTTAAGTTACTAGAGGTTGCTAAGTAAATTTCATTAACCACACAAAGAGCTTCCAAGCTTTTTAACCGACTTGAAAATATAGTAAGCAAAATTGCAACATATAAAAGCTCTTTCACATGCCTCAAGTAACTTGTGCCAATTTAAACGACAAAATCTTAAAGTAACTCAAGTAATTAACTTGAGTAAGCAGTGAAAACAAGGTTTTAAGTTCATTTATTGAAGGTGAATGTGTTAATAGTCATGACATGTAGAATAACTACAATAACAGGGAAGTCACTTATACCGTCTCCCCGATTCTGATGGTACTTTTAAGCTGAGATATAAGCGAACAAAAAAAGAACAGTTAGGTCAATACAAGCTAGTACAATTGAATCTAGTGAAGATTGTATGGAATATCGATATCATCACCTTTCTAAACAACCAGTTAGAAATAAGGATAATTGAACCACAGACGTTGTTCGTTGAAGATAAAAACCTGTAAACGTTACCCAAATTAGTTGATGCTGTGAAAAACTGATAATCTGAGATTAGTAAGATTAACAGACTGCAAGATAAGGACAACCTTAAGCATTAGTTCCTTCAATATAAAAGAATATTACCGAAAAATATGTGAAAAATATGCTTATAAAAATGCTTAACACTGGACTTTCATTTTGAATTGAAACAAAAAATAACAGCTAAAATTACAAACATGACAGCTAAAATTACAAATATGACAGCTAAAATTACAAATAAAACTCTTGTGTGAATCCACTATCAGCAATAATTGACAGTTTCTCTGTTACTTTTGTAAAAACCTGTGTAAGGTTACAACAAGTGATGAACCATCTATGACAATAAAACAGAACTAGATAACCTACCAAACAGTCACCCGTTTTTTTGGAAGCAATAATTAAATGGCAACAGATTTATAAGAGCAACGCAGAATAGTTAATTCTGAATAATACAAAAGTATTTGAGTAGTAGAAATATGCTGAGAAATATGGGCATTTAATATTTCGCTTAAGAAGGCTATTTTCCTATCTAACCGAAAATTACGAATAAATCATTCACTGTTCACCGGGAATAACCCAATGCATTCATTTTGTTTCTACAAATCAAAAACATATGAAAGAGTGCTAGGATTATGACAATGGATGAACCACTAATGTACCTATACAAAAACTATTATTTTGATGAGCAGATCCAAATGGATCTCTATAAGATGGGATGGAAAAAGTGCTATAACAAACGGTTTGCACGCTTGTTACTTACAGTAACATAAAGTATAGATAAAGAATAGAATAATAGAATACCATAAATGACAATTGAGTGTTTTCTTCTACATATTAAGTTGATGACTTAAGTTAAGTAGCGTAAGTTGATAAAATTATTTGAAAATATTAATTACGTTGTTAGAAGCATTCTTACATGAACTAAAGGTAAAGCAGTAATATAAATAATAGGATATAGTTTTTTTATTGTTTTTATAATTTTTAATATATTGATTTAATATATTGAATAATATGTCAAAAAAAAACAAATCTTTTTTATCATTACATTTATTACCTTCAAGAAAAGGTTTTATTTCCACGATGTTCACAAGTTAACGGAAGATCAGTCATAAATTCTCTTCAAAGATTACATAAGAAAAACCAATCTATAATAAATCGAATTAATAATATGTTAGTAAAATTTTGAATTAATAAAATTAATTGAAAGCAATCATTAAAAAATCGTTAATAGATTTTGATAACTTACATTAAAAATAATCGAACTTTCTTCTCTGGAATCATAAAAAAAAAAACAATTTAAAAATATTTTAATAATTTAATAAAAAAGTTCTTAATTAAATCATACCAATCGCATTAATTGAGCTTTGTGATTGCTTTCAGACAATTCTATTGCTGGTTGAACCGATAATATCCCTCATACGTAGGCTTTGGCGTTATTGAAATTAAATACTTCCTGAAGTGTGCCAGAGCACCATGCCTGTCTTTCTTCTTCTTTCTAGCGGTTGAGGTATAATTAATTCTTTTCAAATCGGTCATTGGTGAAACTCCGGATGTAACCAAATCCGGTGTAGTGCCTAGTAATCCAAAGCAAAGTGGAGACTTAATTCGTACACTTTCTACTTCAGAAGCGATATTGCGTTCAACCAATGGAACATTTTGACCAACCGGGAGACGTGATAAAAGTGGGGCCTCACCACATGTAAAGCGTTTACAAAAGGCGAAACTACTTTGGAACAAATTTTCCATATTGGTTGAGACTTAATTTGGTGTTATAAAATTATATGCAAATTAAGCACAAAAGCGGAAACTTTTTAAAGCAATTCAAATCACAGAAGTGGAAGACGTATATGAAATATGTAGGAAAACCAAAAATTTGGAAAATGCTAATTAAGAAAATATAAAGAAAATATTTAATGTGAAAATTTATTAATGAAATTTTAACAGAAAATTTTCAATATAACTAATTTATTCTAAGTTGACTATGTTGATTAGTAGAAAAATGTATTTGCGTATTAAAACCAATATTTAGAGTTGAATATACTAGTTATAACTAAACAATGAATTAAACTATAATTAAAGTTATTTATTTCAAAGATGGATTTAATTAATTTCATAAATTCTTATATATTTAGATTAAAATGTTTAGATTTTACTGGTAAATAGCAACTAAAATGAAGAGGAGGCAAATCTCTAACATCTATATAACGAAATAGTCCAAAATTGTTGAAATATGTAGGGACACCTCAGTTAATCTGTTTTTAATACTGGTTTCAGACGAGAGTTTTGATTGTCATTATAGTTGTCAATTTTTGACAGCTAGAATTACAAACAAAACTCTTGTGTGAGAGTTCCCAAAAAAAATAATTCACATATGAAATATTGTACTTACATTAAGACAAGATTGATTCTTTCTGCCTTTATATTAATCTTGCTACCAGATTTTTTTAATGCTCAGTAAGTCTTCACACATTTTGTTGTTTTGTTGTTGTTTAATATGAAAATGATATTAATGGCATTTTCGATACATAAATCTGGCTTCAATCTAGATTCACTCCCGATCTGTCAAATTCTGCTGCACAATCGAACATTTTTAGAGTAATCTCACATTTTTGTAGTTGTAAAAAAAAAAGACAGCTGTTAAAAAAAAAATTGTGCATTAATTGTTTATTAATAATTCAAGTATATTTAAGTATATTTTAATTTTTATAAATAAGTTCAGAAATTTAAAATAGCCTAAGCCGAAATTATTGTGGCAGCTTCGAGTCGTAAACAATACGAAATACAAAGACTCTAACATATATTTAGAAATGATATAGTTTTTTAAAGAGAGAGGCTTTACATATAATGTAGCAGATATAAAGGCATAAATAAACATTTTAAAATGGAAATCTAAGTGAATCCATTATTTAAGTAAACACTTTTATATATAATAAAATATATAATCTCCCTTTACACTCTCTTCATTATACATGAAAAATCAGAAGACACCCTATCTTCTTGATCACTTTACTAAAAGTTTAATGGTAAATTTACCTAACTTAACTTTTAACAACATGTAAGTCATTGTGAATCAATCTATTGTTAATTTAATACAAGCTTTACATTGTATTATCATTATTTATTACTTCATAAAAATTTTAGAAAACATAACGAGTTCCATTCAGTAACAGAAATAATTACCTCCGATTATTATTTCCGACGAGATAGCGTCTACCTACATCAGCTTCTCTAAACCAGGTACAATTCGCAAATTCGTGACGGTCGAGAAACTCTAACCTGTGCTGGAGTGATGCAGAAAATATTGACGCAGAACTGGTGTCCCAGTTCCAACTATTTTTTTTTTGTTGTCCTCGAAATTTGTTGTCCTGGAAACATCACAAGCAATGTTTCTTTCTCTCCATATACTTTTTATCATTTATTTTAAATTTGCACAGGCTTAAGATTATGCCGAAGTCCATAAAGAATGGTAAACCATATCTCTTAAATACGAGAATTATTTCTGATGAAGATATTTAGTAATACTCGAAATAACTGTATGATCAGCCAAAAAATCAATTAATTAAAATAATATAAAATGAATTTTTGTGGTTGTAGTTCGCTACTGTTCGAAGAAACTTCATTCACGAATAATTAAATATAAAAAATAATTCCAAGACCACTGATGATTAAATACATTAGTTTTATAAATTCAAAAATTCACTTAATTAACATATAACAAAATTTTATTGATGTAACATGTAGTTTTCTCAAAAATAAAAAGTTCTCGTTACTTTTTGAACACACCACGTATCGAACAAAATTTTGTATTAATCCTGTAAGCTCTTAATTAGTCTACTTAAAAATTTCTTTTGTTAATGTGAACACTATTTATACTGTTCTCACTATTCAAAGAGCAAAATATTGTAGTTAACTGACAATATAATTCAAATTCACTCTACAAGTACAATAATCCTACTTATAACGCGGTAGATTGATTTCGTATTATAGGAAAACGCGTTATAGGGGTTCTACCCACGTTCTACACACGTGCAAAGGTACGCGAAGCTAATTATGAACTGTACAAATCCCCGTGATATATGGGGGAATGGTCGTGTTGTACGGGGGATTAAAATCATGTAATAAAAAAACACGTTATTAGGATACCGAGTTATAGGAGGGATTACTGTACTTCCTTGAATATGAATTCGATATTTTGATAAAAATTAATATAACAACTGCTGCTTATTTTATTATTTTAGAAAAAGTTGAATAAAAACCTAAGATCGGTAGAAAGTGAATGTTTTAGTTGTGAATTTTCAGGCATTAGAGGCGGTATTAAAAATGTAACGCAGCTAAACAGTTAATAAAATTATAGCAATGTTTCAATTCTCCGGATAAGTCCATTTGACAACAGATTTTATTAAAAACAGTTATTTTAAAGAACTTTATTTACTTTGATATATTCAACATATCTTAATTTTCATTTAATTGGTTTAACATCTTTATTTTTATATTGTATTTCTATTTTTTAATACCAAAAATAATTTTTTTTGCATATAATAAATATGGTTAAGTCTTTGAATCCAATGTTTCATAATAATTTTGAATTTAATTTTTTTTTTAAGTAACGGAGCTATTTTCAATTTAAATAAATACTCGTCATATTAATATCTGATATAAAACTAATTCAATTATATCCTTTGAATGACAATGTAATTTTGTAATTGAAAGGAACTTTGAACAAATCATTCAATTACTTTAACAATTCTGAATAGATTAAATATTTTCAGATCCTTTTCGTGTAAGGAGCACTGTACAGATAGAAGGAATCTCATTACGATTCAACAAGATTTTTAGTAATTTTCATGCATTAAACATTAAACAACAACAACAATAACAATAGCAACAACAACTAAGAAAAATGGTAATGGCACGTAAGGATGCAAGTTGAACTACAAATGTACAACAAAATTACATTTGGGACCTTGCACATGCGACGCAACATCCGACATTAAAGATGTTGCACGAGTTTATGAGGACCTGTACTAGCATGTTGCAACTTGAATCTCCATGAACTTCGCACAGATTCAATGTGAACGCAAAGTGTCCGGTTATAATCACAAAGTCAAATGTAACAAAAAAATAAATAAATTTATTTCCATTTGAGTTAATGTCATAACATTCAAACCTTTGTGACATTGTGAGAAACCACTAGAACAAAGTCAGTGTATTTGATTGCACTTCGAGATTTTTTGTACATTGAAATTTAGACTTCAATGGTTTTTCTAGATCTTTTGTATTAATCAAATTATTTAAAAAATTTTAAATAATTTATGTAATATATAATGCGCCAGATTTGCAGGTGGAGAATTGAAGAATACTCATGAGTATACAGAGTAAGAGCGAAAAATAAAGAATCCCTCACGGATCAAAACGAACGAGCATCAGTTTCATGTTGCAGTTGTCATCAAAAATGACTAGTTATGCTAACAAATTATCTATTATCACTCTCTGTTTTAGTTAAGAGTTAAAGAAACAGATATATGCAGGACTTTATATAATATTTCTTATCCAAAAAATAAAAGGTCTTACAAAAAGTTAAATTTCGTCTTTAATCTTTATTGAAATATAAAAATAAATAGTTGAATATAATCGAACCAATAAACTATTCCAAAATTTGAAACTTAAAAACTCAACATCTAAAAATATTGTTAAGTGGACATATATTTAATAAATATCTTTTAAATGCATTTTTAAATATTTGGTGTTCAATATAATATTCCACTTCAATTGATGAAACAATTGTACGTACTTACAGATTCTCCTCACCAACTATCACTCTCAACGGTATTGTAGTTCCGTAAACAGAAATAGCCACATACTTTGGTATTAAACTTGACAAATGCTTAACTTGGCAAAGAGCTCAAGCAAAGATTCTAGGAATGATAACTGGTGCATCCTGGTATATCGGAAATGAAAACATATATTTCGATTTATAAGTCCGATTGTTAAAGTCAAGTTGAGAATACGATATAAACATGCTTTAAATCTTGAAAACCATATAAATTCGCTGGCTAGACCTCTTGCTAATATAATAAACTTCTCTAGACTGAAACGGAATGATAGACCATCATCCTGCTTTTCTGAAGATTATGCTGTTCAATTCAACTATTGCGACGTGGTATCTGGTTAGTAAGGCCTGGCTATTTATTATGAGGCCCCTTAAAATAATTTTGTTTAATAATTAATAATTTCATTAATAATTTTAATAAATTCATTTTATAATTCATTGTAGAATTTATTATATAATTTGTAATGTAATGTTATTAGTTTTAAAGATTCTAAAACTTATTATTAGGCTTCAACTAAAAGCGATTCAACAAAAACATATTTTTAAATAAATAAAAAAATAATTATACGTAATTTTAAAACGCTTAGTTTTGGATTCTTCTTCTTCTTATTTGACTATAACAACCCGTTACCGGGCTACGGACTGACAATCTCGCACATGAAGTCCACTTAGTGCTTCCTCAACTTGATCTATACGCCTTCTGCCTTTAACTACTGCATCAAACACTTTTTTCGTTGGCTTATCTTCATCCATTCTCACTACATAATTAAGCCAGCGAAATCTGTGGTTGTTAATTCGCCGAATTATGTCTATGTCGTGACAAAGTTCGTTAAACTTGCAGTTCATTCTGTTGTGGTAGTCGTCTCCAACTTGTAGAGAACCTAAGATCTTACGATGAAGTCTTCTCTCGAACAATTTTGGATTATTATTTCAAAATATTATAGTTTTGCATTAAGAATTTCTGTTATTAAGTAAGTGAAGGACTCCATTTACACGTATTTAATACTAGTGTAGTTCAGCACTCATACAGGAACTTTTGAAAATAACATATATAACGCAACATAG